GGGGGGGGGGGGGGGGATCGGCAGCCGGCCGGGCCTCCTCCTATGGCGGAACCGGCGGTGGCTGCGGCGGTCGCACGGCCGAGAATGCTGACGCGTTCCCGGTGGGCGCCCGGGGGGCAAGCAGTGCCAGCGACGCGACAAGCATCGGACGGAACTCGGAGTATTACCACGTGGGGGGTAAGAGCTCGTACGGGGGAGAGAGCGGCGGCGGGGAGAGGGCATCGTGGGGTGGGCTCCCGTGGTCTTCGTCGTCGTCGTCGTCGCCGCAGCGGTGGAGCTTGCACTCCGTGCCCGGCCCGTGGAGGCCATACTTGACGGGGCAAGACGGCGGCAATGGCGGCGGTGGCGGTGCTGCTGCTGCTGCTGATGCTGCCAGGCGGTCACGGCAGGATGAAGACCCGGACAGCGGGTGAGTATGGGTATCGGTCAAATCAAGATCGACGGTAGAGCCGCGGGTCAGGGACCACGAGGGGGGAGAATGCGTAGAAGAGAAAGTTGCTCAGATTGTGGGGACCCGTCTGCCTACCAGCCGGCAACAAGCCGGTAGCCACGCAACAAACGCTTCCTCCATGAATCCCTGGCTTCGAGCAAAAGGTTGCGATTCCACCTCTGTATGCGTACCTAAACTTACACTTTTTCTGAGGGTTTGTTCTTTCCTGTTCCTGCTCTGTCGTGTGTGCGTGCAATCGGCCCGATGACGCGGTGTTCCGTACCCTAGTTTCAGGGTTTAGGGTAGACAACGGCAGAGCTTGGCGTAGCAAACGCCCATGGCCTTCGTTCGGAAGGCGGGAAGGCGGCGGCTGGATGTTCGGCGATCCTGACCCGGACTCGTCGGCCGGGTGCCCCAAGTCATCGGCCGGCCCGTGCGCGTGGAGGGGGGCGTCTTGCTGCTTGCTGCCGAGCCGTCGCCGCTGACCACGCGGCCCTGCATATAGAAAGAGCACACATGTAGATGCTGCCTGGTACCTGACCAGAAGGTAGGGAGGGGGAAGGGGGCTTTGATGACGATGGAGTCATTTATCTCCCAGGGCAAGGGGGACTGTTTGCGATCGACCGCCCCGCATAGCAGCGGCGGCGAAAATCGTGTCTCAGGGTGCAAGAGATGTAGTAATGTGATGGTGGTGGCATCCGAGGGAGGTAGTCAGTCATTGTCACCGAGGGGGGGGGGGGGGGGGGGTTGCCTAAATGTGATGTCACGGNTAATGTGATGGTGGTGGCATCCGAGGGAGGTAGTCAGTCATTGTCACCGAGGGGGGGGGGTGGGGGGAGTTGCCTAAATGTGATGTCACGGAGCGTTCAGGCACCGATAGGGTTTGGAGCAGACGGCGGTGGCGGCGGCTACCCGACTTGTACCGCACGGAGGTGGGGTCAGGCCTAGGTCCGCTCGTAACTTTTTCGTCTGATTTTCCCGGCCGCGCGAGCCACGCCTCGGACCACTGCCGGCTTAAAATGGGGGTCGGGTTGCTCCTCGTGCGGCTCGCGCTTTTTACTTTACGTCCATTTGTGGTCTCAATATCTTCGCAAGCACAAGTTTGGGGCAGCTGCTGCTTGCTGTACATTTCGCGCTCGTTCGCTCGTGCTTGCCTTTTTTGCGTTCTTGTTTTCTTTTTGATTTGCCGGAGAGAGACCGAAGTAAACACTGTGCCCTCCCCCCCCCCCCCCCCCCCCCCCCCCCCCCCCCCCCCCCCCC